CACACACACGCGCACTCACACACACACACACACACACACACACACACACACACCCACACACACACACACACACACACACACACACACACACACACACACATTCTTGCTGACTCAGCTGAGAGGAGTGCTTTTTTTTTTAAAAGACAGTCCCCGGGCTGCCTTAAAAAAATTGTTTGTAGAAGTGGCTAGTCAACTCCCCACTGGTTGCTACTGCACATGCACCTCCCTGTTGACGGAGAGGTAAGTGCACGCCCAGAGATGCCAGGCTCGATTCCATGGAGGGAAGTTCGGCCGCTGTCTCGAAAGATGGTGGAAGCAGCAGAGGCAGCAGGATAAGGTAGGGAGTTGACTGAGGCAGTGGGGAGGGGGAAAGGTGGGGATCAGCTGAGGTAGGCAGACTTTAAAAAAAAAAAAAAAACAGCTACTGGGCTGTCTAAAATATATAGTACTGATGAACCATGAATCGATTCATGGTTCGTCAGGAAAAACTTCAGAAATTCATGAATTCAAGATGAACCAACATTTTGCTGGTTCATGCCCATCTCTAATCATGATCAAAGGCTTTCTTATCTTCTACAGGTAAAAGTAGAACTGCCTCGTCCATGGGATCCCCAGTTTGAAAGGAGTGACATTCTCTGTTAGAGACATACCATTTATAGTTTGAATTCTGTATGAAAGGACCCTCCTGAACGTATAATATGGTAGAGTTGGTTGTTCTTGGAAGTAAATCAGGAGGAAGAAGTTCATTCAACACAGTGCGATTACATCTGCTAGTCTTCCATTTGATGAAGTGACAAGCCTCAGTGTTTTTGTTCTGTGAAATTATTGTAAATAAGAATCTAGTGACTTTAGGTAGTTTGTAGATTTTGCTAGATTCTCCTTATCAAATATTTAGAACTAAAATTGAATCCTATGTTGAAAGGAGGTAGAATTACAGCAATCATATCCATGCACAATTTACCTTTTAATTTTCTCTTGCTATCCAGGGATATTCAGTAAATCGAGTGCCCCTTATGGGACTAGGATATTTTCCCCAATTCTATTTGTGGGGTCCCGTGAGTAGCTGAGGCAGTAAATTACTGTGACTTTGTTTGAACATTTTTTTAGTTACAGCACATTAGTTCTTTTGTTTGCTTTTCCAGTGATA